AAACCGGAACGTCAATTTGAAGAACTATGCGCTAGAAGTGTCACCAAAGGTGTTCCAATCACTCAAAGATGTGGAGCGCGTAAACATCACATTTCAACGCATTCATGTCTCTGAACTGTCATCTTTCTTGCAGTGTTACAAATGTTTAGGCTTTGGTCACACCACTAAACACTGCAACCAAAGCTACGACACTTGTGGTCACTGCTCTGAAGAACACAAGACCAAAGAGTGTCCGAAGATTAAAGAGAAAACAGCCGTCAAATGCATAAACTGGATAAAGTCTAACTGCAAATACGGAAATCAGGTTCAAACATCGCATACCGCGATGTCTCAGTCATGTCCGCACGTCATAAAAATGAAGTCGAGAGCCATCGAAATGACTGACTATGGATACTAACCGCAGTCAAAGGCATCTCAAAGTGATTCAAATCAACACAAGAAGAAGTCAAAAGTGCGTAAACGAACTCATCAAACAGTGCGTCGACCTAAACATCGACATCGCTTTAGTGCAAGAGCCGTATATCGGCAATTCAGGACACGTGAGACCGCCGTCAAAAATGGACGTTTTTCAACGTCAAACCGAAGATAACGTGAGATCAGCTATTTTTGTGTTTAATAATAATATACGACCACTACTCCAAACACAACACAGCAACTCAGACATTGTCACTATTGACATCAAGTTTGGAGTCACTAATTATCGCATATGTAATGTTTACAATCCACCAGAGACTGACATAACACCTAACATCTCAAGACTTTCAAGTGCTTGTAGTGGTTGTGAGCGTGTGATCATCGGTGGTGATGTGAACTCTTCACATCCTGTTTGGGATCCAATTGGCAGCGATAAGGCCATCAGTATTGCAAACGGCGAACTATTACTTGACTTTTGTATTTCTGATGGCTTTGACATTCTGAATACTCGCGACAAACCGACGTTTGATACCATCAGTGGTCAGCGGCACCTGCAGACATACATTGACGTTACACTCGCCTCCGACTGTGTATTACAACATTGCAAAGAGTGGAGAGTGGAAGAAGACTTAATACAAACCAGTGATCATAACGCCATTCGGTTTGATGTAGTGCTCGAAGAAGAGATCGGAGAACCAGAGATATCAACATTTAAATACCGCAGCGAATTTGCCGACTGGAGCGTCTTTAGCGATGTCTTAACGCAAACATTAATTGACTTTGACGTTACAACGTCAAATGTGGATCTGATCTCTGATATCAACAACTTAGATAACATTGTCCACAACATCACTAAATCGATACAAACAGCGTGTGATAAGTCAATGCCAATGAGACACAAGGCTAAGAAGCGCTGTCCCTGGTGGACACTCGAACTCGAGACCAAGAAAAAGGAACTCCAAAAGTTAAGACGTCGACTGAGAAGCGCCTTCACAACACCACCGATAACCGCCATCGAAGAGTACAAGACTACTAAAGAAGAGTATAAGGATCTCATCTCTAAGACAGCAATAGACAGTTGGAAGGAATACATTGGATGCCAAGGAAGAGACAATGTGTGGTCTAATGTGTACCGCCTTTTGAAAGACGCGCCTCAACCAAGACCTCCAACAACACTACTCTTCAACGGCCAATACACCACAGACGCCGGGACAACGGCCAACGCTCTGCTCAATCACTTCTATCCCGACGACAACACAACAAACGAAACACCAGAACAAACAGAGGTCAGAAATAGAATTGACGTCAACTTTGACGTCGGAGGAATAAATGACGTTCCCTTCACAACCGATGAGATAATGGAGATATTCGAGAATATGAACCCAAAGAAAGCTCCGGGACACGATCACATCACTTCTGACATAGCGCTTAACTTCATCAAAAGCCACTCGGAATTAGTAACAAAACTTTATAACAAATGCCTAACACTCGGTCTTTTCCCCACCTCATGGAAGTCAGCTGTTGTCAAGATTCTGCCCAAACCCGCCAAAGAAGATTATAGTCAACTCAAATCTTACAGACCAATAGGACTACTCCCAGTACTCGGCAAAGGACTCGAAGCTCTGTTCAAGAAGAGGATCACATGGGATTTACATAAACGTCAAAAGCTTTCCCGCAATCAGTTCGGGTTCACCGAACAGACGTCGACATGTGATGCGATAAGAAAGGCTATCAACACAATCAAATCAGCAAAACAAAGACGTGAAGAAGTGGTGGCCATCTCTTTGGATATCGCGGCCGCTTTTGACAATGCCTGGTGGCCGGCACTTCTTGATGGACTCAAACGACGCGGTGTTAAACACGACACATACCGCCTAATACAACATTATCTCATTGACAGGAAAGTGACGTTACGGTACGCCGGAACGTCAATTGACAAACAGATGACCAAAGGATGTGTTCAAGGTTCTGTGTGCGGCCCCACCTTTTGGAACATCATATTAGACGACATTTTTGGTGTCTTCCTTCCCGATGGCTGCTCTCTTCAAGCGTTTGCTGATGATGTTCTACTCATCTGCCATCACAAGGACATTGACGTTCTAAGAGTGAACGTCGAAACTGCTCTCACAACAATAACAAACTGGGGCTCAAGTGTAAAATTATCATTCGGTGCCGACAAGACACAGCTCATCGCATTCACCAAAACCGCAAGGGATCTCCTCATTCAGATGAACGGCACAACTCTTGACTTAACGCCTGAGATCAAACTCTTAGGTGTCATCATAGACGAAGACCTCAAGTTTCATCGCCATGTCATGTATGCCATAAATAAAGCCAAAAGAGTTTTCAGAGCGCTTTCAAAAGTGGCGCGACCCACATGGGGGGTGGGCTCTGAAGTGATTCGAGTCATGTATCAACAGGCTATTGAGCCGGGGCTGACATATGCCTGCAATATCTGGTCATCCGCTCTCAAGTATAAGTATATTCAACGCAAACTCGAACAGTTTCAGCGGCCATTTGCCATTAGAGCAGCGAAAGGCTTCAGCACTATGTCTTTGACGTCGGCGCTGGCGATCGCTAATCTTATCCCAATAGATTCAAGTATAAGTATATTCAACGCAAACTCGAACAGTTTCAGCGGCCATTTGCCATTAGAGCAGCGAAAGGCTTCAGCACTATGTCTTTGACGTCGGCGCTGGCGATCGCTAATCTTATCCCAATAGACCTCAGGATTAAAGAAATCTCAGACATTGAAGACGTGAAGAATACGTTAATATCACAACACATCCCATCAGACATCACATACCAAAGCCGTGTCGACTTTCGATCACTAGATCATCCCGCAGACCGAATAAGAGTGTCTCACATTGACGTCGAAACGTCAGAAGCGGCGCTCACTCTTGAGGAAGAGACACACATCTCTATCTACACAGACGGAAGTAAACTTGATGGCAAAGTTGGCTGTGCTTTCCAAGTGTATGAAGACAGACAGCAAACAGCACATCAAACTATGAAACTTGGAGACATGTGTTCCGTATTCCAGGCGGAACTGACGGCCATTGACTACGCTCTGAAGTATGTCTTAAGACGTCAAACTACAAACGTCAAAATCTTCTCGGACTCTAAATCGGCTCTCCAAGCACTCGGAAACAGAAGCAGTGTTAACCCAATTGTGCACAACATTCACCAGCATCTCAAACATCTCACTGCGAAAGGCACGGACTGGTCTTTCGTCTGGACACGAGCTCATGTGGGCATTCCTGGTAACGAAGCAGCAGATGTGTTGGCAAAGACCGCAACTACTAAGAGAGCCGTTCCAGTATTCAGTGAATTTCCATTGACGGCCGCTAAGCGACTCATACGACAAGAGGTCATTGAAGAGTGGAACCGCCGCTACACTGACTCACCAACCGGTTCTGTGACTAAAACATTTCTACCATCAATCTATCACTCACGTCAATTGTCTAAACTACTGGAACCGACGTTTGAAATGTCTCAAATTCTTAGTGGACACGCTTTCAACAACTCATATCTTCACAGATTCAAGATATCGCAAGTAAACACCTGCCCGTGTGATACCGTCACTATACAAACAATACCACACTTATTATATGACTGCGACAAATATTTGACGTCTCGACGTCAATTAGATTATCTATGCAGTTCCAAGTCTGTGGACATGAAATCATTTATCGATATTATTAGACACGAAGACCTACTTCAAGAATACGTGACTTTCGCTAAATATATAATCGGAGACTTAAAATCATTCAATAACTCAAACAACTGATTGTAACTAACATTACATGATGTAAACCTATAAGAGGACAACAAGAAATAAGTACAAATGCAACGAAGATATACACAACACATCCGAATTCACATCACTTTCCTGCATCCACAGCGGGATTATTTTTATTATATTTATGCTATTTTTAATTATTTCCTAAATATTACATTGTATTGATTTTTATCATTAATTTAAATAGACGTCAATTTTGACGTCAACGTCAAATACTTTTTAACTATAATTTTAAACACTTAATTGTAATACTTTTTATAGCAATTAATAAATTATTTTACAAGTCAAAAAAAAAACCTAACCTAACCTAACCTAACCTAACCTAACCTAACCTAACCTAACCTAACCTAACCTAACCTAACCTACTGGTGAGCATGTATTTCATGTTTTCACAAGAAGAGGAAGATTTTTATATTTATAAAAACCAATTTGATATAATGTTTATTGCAAATCAATATAATTAATGCATTAATAAATAGCGGTTAATAACATATGCATGTAAAATTCGATAATAATCTTATTTTTATTTAACAAATACAATTAGTGTATTGACAAATGAAAATTGATATTTTATTTTATGTATATTTTACATTATTTGGAATATAATTTGTTTATATAAAAAATATCACAGGTTTAAATACAAAACGAGAATATATTTTGACATATTCTATAAAATTGTAATTTATTTTACTATTGCTTCTATTGTTTATTTAAATGACTAATTAATTATAATATAAAAATTTATTTATTTATATTTAATTAAGTTTTAAATGAATATTTGGTTGATTTTGTTGAACTTTTGTTGTTCGTAATGCACGACAGCATCACTAATGCATACATTGTTTCTTATGATAATTGAGTAATAAGTTTGTGTTGTTTGAGGTGTTTGTCGACAACCAGTTGTCAAACCGTTGATTCAAATTTAGGACTTCCAGAGCCGATAAGATTGACTCTTTGTGTTGTGTTTTGTGCACTTTTATTGAATTCGATTTTAGCGTATTCTACACATTGTTGTTGTTGTTGTGCTTTTGTGGTCATCGATGGTTGAGCTATGGTTTGTTGCGCTGGCAATGGCTGTCCACAAAAGGACAGCTCCGCGTAATGAACTAAATCATCGTTTTGAGGCACGTATTGCATGACATCATCGCTTTGATAACCTATACATTAAATAAATGTACATATTAACCAATTAATTACATAATTATTGTTGCAAATAATACTTTACAAAACAATCATTTATTATTACAATTATAATTAATTCATTATTTTCAACTTTTAAAATTGCATTCCCTATCTCGATGTAATACTCAAGTTATTGTGCAGGGACATTTTTGATGGCATCAAATTTAGCCCGGAATGTTTAGCCCGAAAACCTCGCCGGGACAAAATGTGCTCAACCGGGGCTTATCCCGGAAAACCGGTCGGTGACTTTAAATAATACTCTAATAAAATTACTTTTATTTCAATGCACTAATTATTAGTGACTGATATTATATGTAAATAATGTACCATTTATTTACAAATTGGTGGCAAATATAATTCAACATAGAATTAATTATTTATGAAATAAATGATTGCAATTAATTGATGTCTACAGAAATGCTGATATATTGCATACCATATGTAATGTAATTTTTATTGTCGAGACCGAGTCCTCCACTTATAAAGCCAAAGGAAGGGATGATATCTGGCGGTCCTTTCGACGGATTGCTGTTTTGATGTAACTGTTGCTGAATCTGTTGTTGCGATGGTTGAGTGGTTGCTGTGGTTGAAGTCAAGAGCATTTCATCGCAACAGTCATCACCACAACAGGCCTCGCAGTCTTCGTCTTCTTCAAAAAGTGTGGCCGAAGTGTGAGTCGTGTGTTGTTGTCGAGAGTCGTGTTGAGAGGTGTGAGCGGTTTGGACATTGGGTTCAGTCCTACGAACCCTCACCACAGCTATCACTCCCAAAGCAATCACAATCAAAGTGACGACTCCGGCGCCAATCAATAACGCCATTACCATCGGTTTTCCCCTCAGTATGTAATTGCCAGCCGAGCCATCATTTGATGCATTGCTGTTGGAGTCCACAAGTCTTTCGGCTGGCCTTAATGTTTGGGCCTTTAACCAGATTTGTTCACTTTTGCCCTTAGAATTAGTTGCAAACAATTTCAGCTTAAAATTGGTGGCAGGCGTTAGGTTTGGCACAAATAACTGAAACGAATTCGATGTGACACTACTTCCCAATCCAGACCCCAATGCAGACCCCAATGCCGGTACTCCTCCGCCCAATGATGAAGAACTTATGCTAATTATATTGTTGTCGAACACAGAATTCGAAGAGTCTGTAAATCAACATTTTCAATTTTATTAAAAATTATTATTAAATAAATCGCTTATAGTTTAGTCTAAAAAATATAATCAGAAGAGATATTTGGTAAAATAAATACTAAAATACCTGATAGTATTGAATTAGTGGACAACTGAGAAAGTGGTAGATTTGCAGACAATGATACGTTTGCCACTAAATATTGATTTTGATTATTAGTATAGACTTCGCACACATAATAAGTGGGCGGATAGACCACAACTATTGGCGATGTCGTCTCACTATTCATATATTGATTATTATTGTGCTTATTATTTAAATGTTGTTCAAAATGCAAATCATTTGCTGTCCAATTAGTAGATTGTATGTTATTGTGATCACTATTCCCTGTGCACAAAATGACCAAAGCATTGTCACTTTGGTTTACCACTTGGCACGTGTATGGAAAATTAGGAGGACCTAGGTAACAATATTGTTATAATTAATCAGCATTTGAGAGCATTCTAATCATAATTTATGACTCCTAAAAAATTAATTGAATTGATAAATGTAGAGTTGATGCATATAAAGTTGATGTATACTGTTCTGATTATGACATATGACATACCGGCTTGTATTATATGATATTTGCATGATTTCTGTTGGATTCCAATAGTGTTCTTAGCCATACACTCCACTGTCCCGTATTCCTGACCCGATTGAGGCGCATACGTCAATATTGAACTATAAAGTACATGATTCTTGTAATTGATTTACATATTATTTAATTCAATTCAAGTCAAACCTGGTTTCATTAATTTTGTTAAAATTAGCAAGATCAGTAATGCCTTCGAACTTCCATTGAAAAGAAACTTGTGGTGGATTTGCATCCACATTGCACTCCAAATCCACCGATTCATGTAATGAAACTCCAAACGCCAGTCTATTTTAAATGTAATCATTTTGTCATTCTATTTCATGTATAATTATACAGTATATTATAAGGTTGCCAACTGATTAAGGTCTGCCCTGATTTGCAAGGCGAGAGGGTTTTGGTCAAGGTAAAAGGCGAGGATCTGACGTTGACATAAAAACGTCAAGGTAAGAACAAATATGTAATTATCACAGACTGTTTGACCTTGTTTTTTAGGTGTTCACATATACAGTTTATTTCAATATAATTTTGTTTATAATTGAAATGTAATGATTCATTATTACTAATTTATCATTACTAATGAAAATACTGGCTAATAATGAATAAAGGGCAATAGCGTGTCCCCTATTACGGTTTATGTGGAACATCCAAAAAACATGTATAAAATGTCTATGATTTATCGGTTTCATACGTATATAACGTAAAACCGCATTTAACCGCATATAATCAATTTCATCAAAAACCAATAAAACCTGCCGTTAGAATCTACAATAAAAGTGTTGGTCAAGGAAATGTCATGGCGAATTCTTAAAATTTTTAAAATTTTCAAGGAATGTGTAAAATTGAGTTGGCAAGCCTACAAATAATATTTCATTTGGTGAAATTGAGACGTTTCTGTAATTTCTCAAAATATGCTAGACTTGGGACAATTTGGTAAATGTAATGTTGACTAACAGTTTATAACTAATAGGTAACTGAATTTTATAATAAGATCAAGGATATAAACATGAGATTGTCAAATAAAGCATTATAATTATTTTGTCTTGTTTTGATGATATAGATTGTAAATATAAGAATGCATACGTGAATGGAGTGCTACAGACGGGCGCATATCTAATCTTGAGATGAATGGCATTACTGAGTGCTATTCCCTGTTGATTAGTGGCTTCGCACTGGTAAGTGCCGCTTTGACTTCTGGTTACTCTTTGTAAGACCAACGATACGTTGCTTTGAATGATTCCTATACAATGTAACACAATTAATGTTAGCAATTGAACACATTTATTAAATTTCATAATCACAATAAGTTAGTTGTAATTATAGACATCTTCTTTAATTTGACAATAAATTATATGTTTCATTTGGGTCTATTTTATAGTCCATTTTTTCATAAAATTATGCGTAAAAACTGAACCATAAAATAGGCCCAGATGAATTATATGATGGTAATATAAAATAATGTGTTCATTTATACCTTGTTGTGGATGTAAAACATTACCATTAAATCGCCATAAAATGGGAGCATTTGGTCGCGGGTTAGCATCAATATGACAGTCAAAATAAATATCGTTTCCTTCTTGTAGTGACTGAAGAGATATTGTCGGAGTTCCCAATTGTAGTGATAGTTGAGGAATATCTGAGATCATTATAGCAAATATGACAATAAATTAATGCAAACTTCAATTCGTGCCATGCTGCAATGGGATGTTATTAGCATCATAATTAAAAAATACATACATTGAATATCAAGTTTGAGTTCATCAGAAATGGCTGAGCCGTCAATCTTTGAGTTTTGTGCCAAACACGTTAAGCTAACGCCGTTGTGCGCGTGCTTTAGGTTTATTGTCAATGTGGTCGACGTTTGCAGCTCTCCTATTATTTGGTATATAATTCAATATTATATTATTAGCTCGTTCATTAAGTTAACATTGTAACATATTAACTTTATGTCAAATTGTTTTTGTATGTTAAACCAAATCAATTTATAGCCTATTTCATATATTCATTATGATGATTATATTTGTGTACAACAATTTTCAAATTTATTTCAAGAAGTGGTGAATTCATATCTTATTTATTTATTAATATAAAAATAAAATAGCAAACCATTAAGAGGTGTATTATGTCGGGTGCCATCAAATAGCCAATAGAGAGTAGCTTTGGGTCGGGAACCAAATGTATTGCATTCAAAGATTGCTTCCCGATCTGCCACTAAGATTGGCGTCAATTGGGTTATTCTCACTTCTGTTGGTTTTACTGTAAATTCAATTCAATAATTAGAAATCAAAAATATTATAAATTGTATAAAACATGTAGAATAATGTCTATAAATAAAGGTATGAATGTATTTGTATGTGAATTTGCAAATACATTGATGCTTACAATTGAGATCTAATGTAATGGATGCGGACGAGGGAACAGTTATGTTGTTATTAATTGCTTGACACGTGAAAATTGATAATAAGTGATGGCGAGCCAAAGATGTGATCGTCAACTGGTTTGTCGTAACTATTTATTTAAATACATTTGTTTCAATATTTTAACAATCATTGCAAATCATTACAATTGTACAGTACATGCCATATGTGTATGTCATAATACTATAAATTATACTACTGTAATCATATATTCTCTTGGGTAAATCTTATTTTTAATAAATTCAAAATTCAGCATAATAAACTTGATATCCTGCTTACTTTCTACTATAGTTATAATTATGAAAGTTCCATAATTTAAGCTAACATTCATAACTTGTAAATTCCAGAATCCAAATTTTATAATTTAGTTTCATTAGTCAATAGACCGAAAATTTTTAAACTAGGCCAATCAAATAATGTATTTCTATGGGATTTCTCTGTTTTCGTATTTACAAATGACTAAATTTATATATAAATTAATCATGCTTAAAAAATAGACATGGTTAGACTTAAGAATAAATGTATTTATGCTGGATAAAAATGTCTTTATTGTTGTATTTTTAAACAAGGATCACACGCGATGCTATGCGTTAACCACAATTCGGGAAATCCTATAATCCGAACGATCCTATAAACCACATTATTCATATTGAATTGTGGTTAAAAATAGCGTGTTCGAGAATACCTAACAATTAATATAAAAACATTGCGCTTCTGAATTCTGTATTTAATAAACAATATAATCATATGCTATCCAAATGGCAACATTGACCGGTACCCGAACTGTGATCACATTAATATTCGTAGTTAACCATTGAAATTTTTGTTTTATGCGTTTGAATTTAATTTCCATTATAGTTAATGTTATGATAACTGCTCTAACTATATATTGTCTTATATCTATAAATTAATTACAATGACAAGCAAAATACTTTGAAAAATATATAGGCCATTTGAATATCATTATTAAGCTCATATTATTAAATAACTTATTTACCAATTAAAACATTACTATTTAATAAAAATAAATAAACAAATATTAATATTATCTAGAATCTAGATAATAACCGTAATTATAATGATTATTAAAATACAACATAATTTATACCATCTTTTTCATTGTATTCAAACGAATCATCAATTATTGAATAGTCTCTCCACCAACTCAACGATGGCCGCGGTTTGCCTTGAATTTAATATTTTAGTACAAAATTATATCAATTATTTTTAAAATTATTTATGTATACCAATAGAAAACTTGCAAAAATAAATAAATTGTGTTTTTTAGTATAATAATTTTATAAGTTTAATATAATCGATAGAATATTATATTATTTATAAAAATTACTAAATTATCATTTATTCTTTCATTATGAGCAATTTTGACTTCAATTCAGCATAAAAATTAAGGTTTATAAGATTGCATCTCATGTGAAATCGCATCGATTTCTAGATTAAATCTACTATACTAAAAGATGTGGTCAGTGTTATTAGGGTGGCCACTGGCCAACTCTCCACCATTTCATTTTTGTGTCCACTAAGAAGTTCTTAGTAAGAACTGAAGATCCAATAGTAGACATTGAATTTTCCACTATTTTATTTACAGAAAAATTAACAAATTTTAATTAAAATTATACAAACATCTTAAGTAATATTGTATAAACATTTTATATTTTATAGTTAACTATTAATAATCACTTTTCGTGTTCGTGTATATTAATTATCAGTTATAATAATTAATAAATATTCAAGTTTTTTAATTTAAAAATAGTGGAGATGCTAATAGTAAAGTACAATAGTTTAGTACTTGACAATAATTTATTGTGTGCACTATGTTTAACTTAATACGTATTATATGAAATATTATAAAGTACAGGGTGGTGATTAATGGACTATACCATTACAAAGTCGAATAGCTCAAAATTTATTCGGTTTAGAAATTCAAATGATATACCAAAATAGTCATCAACTTAGGGATTGTTTGTTATGATTTGGTCAATATGCTTGATCTCTTATAGAAATAATCTCAAATCAATCAAAATTTTACCATTTTTTATAGACATAATGTTAAATTCATACTTATTTTGAAGCAAAATCCAGAAATATTTTTAAAATTATTTTTGCTCTTGTTTGAGAATCTGTAATCAAAATTCTTGTGCTGCATGTAGTTTTTGCATTATAAAGTTTTTTTTGCAAAAGTTGTGTATTTTAAGATAATATAAATCAAAAATATTGATAAATCATTAATTAACCAAAAACTACCTGCAGCACAAGAATTTTGATAACAGATTCTTAAACAAAAACTAAACTAACCTGAGACATATTTCAGGATTTTAATCAAAAATTAGTTTAAATTTAACATTATTTCACTGAAAAAATTATAAAATATTGCTTGATTTGAAATTATTTTTAAAATAGGAGACCAAGCATATTGACCAAATCATAACAAAAATTCCCAAACTTTATTACTATTTTGGTATATCATTTGAATTTCTTAACCCAATACTTTTCAAGCTATTCGAATTTGTAATGGTATAGTCCATTAATCACCACCCGATATTATGAAGTATTTATATTATATTGATATTAAATTTAAATATATAGCTATAGTAAAACTTTTTAATATTACCAAATGAATTAGTATTAAATCATTTAAATGCCTATAAATCAAAGTAAAAATAAAGAGAAAAGTAAAATACTAATTTTAATTAAAATATACTACAAATATATAATATTTAGTTATTATAATATTATTTAGTTATAAACTACATAACTGTATTATTATTATTTAAAATTTCATTCTTTATCCGTGTTATATTTTAATTTCAATAATTTAATATCACATGAATGATTAATATATTTCTTATACCTCCATTTGTGGTACAAATCAGTTTCAATTCCTCGCCTTCATTGTAGGGACCTATTAGTCCTTTAAGCTCATTGTTGTCCATATCCACAATTAGCG